CTGGGAGAGAGTTAAGATTAAGATTATTAATTTCTTTTTCACACACGAGACAGTAGGACATCCTGATTCAGTTCCATTCTTCAAAAAGCGATTCAGTGCATCATGAAACCTCCGATTTTACAATAAATGGATTTGATTCTTTAGGAAATGAATCCGAGCATTGTGAAACTTCACATTTCAGTGAATCGATTTGATTCTTTAGGAGATGAATCAGTGCATTGGGAAACCACATATTTCAGTGTATCAATCTGATTCTTTAGGAAATGAATCAGAACATTGAGAAACCTCAAATTTCAGTGAATCGATTTGATTCTTTAGGAAATGATTCAATGTATTGTGAATCCTGAAATGTTGCTGTGATTCGATTCAGTTCATCAGGAAAGGATTCAGTGCATCATGAAACCTTTAACTTCACCATAATTCAAACTGATTCATTTGAAAATGATTCAGTTGTATCAACATTTAATTCAATTAGATTATTTTGATCTGATTTAGAATCATTTGTTAAAAAAAAAAACATTGAACACAAATATAACTGGAGGAAATATTCAACATCAAACAACAAAACTTTTTGTTTAATGATTTTTTACATTTGCAAAAGGACAAAGAATTGAGTTTTGGCCAAAAGCACATTATTTATTGATTATTATTACTAACAAAGATTTATCTTATTATTAGAAAATTATTATATCATTCTAAAACAGGTGCAGCTTAATGATCACTAAAGCCTGAGCAGTGTGATCAGTTATTGATCTCAGTGCTACTGATTGATCACACTAATAATCTCCTCAGTAGTGGACGTGTTTGTGAGTGATAAGTTTAATTATTTAAACAATAAGCAAATTTTTCATGAAATGATAACAGAAAAATTACACGAAGAAAACTGCCGATAACAACCGCTAACAGCAAGTAACAGTGATGAATAAATAAAAAATAAACGTATTCTGAATACTTTACTTTTGTATGTATTATAATGGAATACATTACTGAACACATATAGGACAGTGTGCTCCATATTCAGCCATCACTACTTTTCCAAACTACTCTGTCCAGCCCTGTTCTGAACTCTTTCCGGCGCCCCCTCGGCTCATTATGGATCTGAGTCTGGATCTCTTCAAAGCTGCTATAAATAACGCTGATTTGAGTGGAACTGAATGTTGATAAAACATCACCACCATAACACTGCAGCAGCGCGGAGTCTGATTAACCCTCACACAAGACACAAACACCGCAAACGGTATCAGGAGAAACATAACAAATCAGTCAGATGAAGAAAAACAGGCTGCAGAATCAGAACCGAATCAGTGCGGATATGAAAACGAACATGATCAGTCAAAGCGCCGCTAATCGCTCAGCAGATCTGGGTTTCTGCAGCCCTGCAGGATCAAACACGGCCTACAACGCAGCTCACAGCAGTTTATAACGCTGTTTATAATGCTGATCACAGCACAGTAAAACGCCGTAGTGCATAACGCAGTTAATAACAGTTTTAGTGCTGTTCATTATACAGACTATAACACTGTTTATAACAATGCTGGAAGTAGAGAGAGAGAGATAGAGAGAGAGAGAGAGAGAGAGAGAGAGAGAGAGAATGGTCGAGTGATTTGATGTGTCTGATCATCCGGAAGCTTCTATAAGCACTGAGAAACATCATGTGCCCCCCACCACCCCCCTCCTCACTTCCACCTCCTCTCTGTGTTTCTCTCTTTCTTCTACACACACACACACACACACACACACACACACACACACACACACACACACACACACTCTTCCTGTCTCCTGCTGCTCTGTAATAATATATTTAAGCTTTCTGGATGTTCCCTGAAGGAATTCCTGGCGTTCCGTGAACCGGATTGGCTCCGGTGTGATCTCACACACGCCGGACAGACTTGATTAATCAACACACCGAGAGAGAGAGTGTGGGTGTATGTGTGTGTGAGTGTGTGTATATATATATATATATATGGTACGTTACTGTAGGGATGGCAATATGAGGATTGATATATGTATGTATACACACACACACACACACACACTTATCTAATATTATAACAAGCTCATAAAAACAATTACGTTGACATTAAACATTATTTACATAAGACACCTTCTTCAAGCGTTCTTTAGCAAAAAGAAAATGGTTCCATAAACACCCACAGGACCTGCATGATTAAAAGATTCTTTTTTTTAAAATGATTAAAAAAAAATCTATGCAGATTTTAATTTTATATTTCAGCTCTATTTCAGGGGCTGAAATGTAGAGAAATGTACATTAAAACTGGCTGATCTGTCCAGGAAAATGTTTCGGACCCCCAGCGTCCAGATTTATTACCATCCGCTCCATAAACAGGAAGTCTCTCTCTCTCCCTCTCTCTCTCGCTCTCGCTCTCCCTCTCTCTCGCTCTCCTCTCCCCCTTGCTCTCTCCCTCTCTCTCCCACTCTCTCTCTCCCCCTTGCTCTCTCCCTCTCTCTCCCCACTCTGCTCTCACTCCCTCCAAAAAGCTTTCATCAGAGAAATAAATTTAGTCCTGAGTTCTGAGAGAGAGAGAGAGAGAGAGAGAGAGAGAGAGAGAGAGAGAGAGAGAGAGAGAGAGAAAGAGAGAGACTATTAGTGTGCCCAGTAAACAGGAAGTCTTTTCTCTCACTCCAAAGAGTTTCTTTTCGGTGTAATAAAGAGTTTATAAACGTGAATCTGCGGTTTGGCTGATGACTTGCTGTTTGGGTTTCGTCCTCCCGGTGACCTCTGACCTCTGAGGAGCGGAGGAAGCGCATAAAAGCCGCAGCCGCCGGTTTATTACGTTTGATTAAAGAGTTCAATAACAAGCCATTTCCTCCTGAATGAGCTCATGGAGAGCGTGTTCCGGACAGCATCGGCTATTAAAGTCATTTACTATCTAGAACAGTGGCCTGCGAGCCCACGCAGGCGGGCACTTCGCTCGCAAGACACAGCGACATTTTTAGGACACTACGTTTGGACAAAACTGAGAAATGTTTAGAAAATTTTAGAACATTTTTGTTAATTTTATATTTTTTTGGCTTTTATTAAAACTACAGTTTACTATGTCAATCAGATGTCACAATAATATATATCATGTTTTTGTTTATCAGTGTTCTCTCACTACAATACCCAGCATGCATCACACGAAAACATTATACAACCACTGGGAACCACTGTGGTGTCAATCTTGACTGCTAGCCTAGCCGCTAATAAAAACAGTCAAGCTACGTGAAACTCATTCAAAACAAAGTCATGAAGCAAACAGGGATTCCAGCTTCAGTCAACACAAACAGACACCAGAGACGAGGTTCTACCCTCAGAGAACAGAAGACAAACTGAGGGAAGCTACTTAGATAGCCGGCCGCCAGCTCGCCAGAGGTCTGCTACCCAACCTTGGGGTCGGCAGCATGCGGCTGTTTTACTGTCCTGTTGTGGCTCCACAGCAGAATCAGATTAGTAGGTAAAAATAAAATAATCCTCCTTTACAGTAAAATAAAGCTCTGCTGATCGTTCAACACAGTTTAACAATAAATGGTCTTAAACTCTGGAGTTAATGTAGAACTGCTGATTCACCCTTTAACCCTGAAGATCAGCACAGACTGCTGGTCACCATAGCAACACAGACAACAATCTCGCCTAGCTAGTAGCTAACGAAACGGCAAAGAGAGAGATTTAAGATGAACATCGATAATTTGGAGATGAATGGACTGATTTGCATTTATAATCACTCCAGCTGGTTTCCTGATACGTTTAATCTGCAGCGAGAAACTGAAATACTATAAAGTTGTGACTCTGAAGTCAGTTTCTCATTCGCCAGCTTGTTATCTGAACTCTCCCATTCCACCTTAAATGGTGCAGCAGTTACATTCTGGTGCCTCAGGCAACATTTAAGGTGGAACGGGAAAATTCCAACAAGAAGCTGGAGAATGAGAAGCGACTTCAGTGTCATTAAAAATCAAAAAATGAAAACAATCTGTGCTTTGCAGGTTTTTGTGAATTCCTCTGAAAATATTTCAACCCAAAGCTTTACTCTGAATATTACTGACAGCACATATTACGTGTTAGCTAAGGGAGCATCTGCAGAGACTTAGTTAAACTAAACTATATTCTTACATGGGTTATGTTTAGTATAGTTTCAGACAAACTACATCCAAAAACGATGAGATGATGAATATCGAAATTGGATATTTCTGCAGGAGAAATGCAGCACACACAGCATTTTTGGCTGACATTGCATCTGTAGACAAGCATTAATTTTACAGGGAGTACTTCACCTTTTGTCTATCTATCTGTCTGTCTGTCTGTCTGTCTGTCTGACTATCTATCTATCTATCTATCTATGTCTTTCTTTTGGTCAATTCATCACCTCAGTTTTCCGCAGTGTTATGGCTGTTTTGGTAGTGACAAAAGATCAGTTAAAAGCCCCAAACGTGTTTTTAGCTCTGAACTACTTCTGTATAATCATTGACCTACATCATCACAGGGTTATTAACACGGAGGGACGCTTCACCAAGCAGTGGAGAAGAAATGAAGCAATTACAATATGTAGCAATATAACTGCTAAACTGTACTTTGCTCACGTCACATGTGAAAAACGTTGAGCCTAAAAGCACACACACACACACACACACACACACACACACACACACCCAGACACACACACACACACACACACACACACCCACACAGACACACACACACACACACACACACACACACACAGACACACACACAGACACACACACACACACACACAGACACAGACACACACACACACACACACACACACACACACACACACACACACACACACAGACACACACACAGACACACACACACACACACACAGACACAGACACACACACACACAGACAGACACACACACAGACACACACACACACACACACACACACAGACACACACACAGACACAGACACACACACACACACACACACACACACAGACACACACACAGACACACACACACACACACAGACACAGA